CTGGCGACGAAGATTAGGGAGTGCTGATGCGAGTGATCCGCGCGCACCGTTAAACTTAGTCGCACGTCGCTGAAATAGTTCGAGTGGGGGGGGGGGGAGGGGTTGTATGTAATCCGTGAAATACGAGCCGTTAATGTTTCTTTTGTCACAGGTGATGGATGGGGAATGCAAGGAGGCGCGCCCAATGGCTTGGGTGGCGGCGGTAACACGGGAATGGGTGGCCCACCCATGGGTGGAAACAACCAAGGCAACCAGGGCAACATGAGTGGAAACAAGACCAGTACACAAGTCACCATTCCTAAAGACGTAAGTCAACTATAAAACTCCCATGTGTTTGTTTTGTGCTCTGGAAAAACGTAAATGTAGTGTTGCGTTGATTTGTCGTGGCGATCGTGGCAGAGAGGGTTACACACCTGCAAATTCTGTGTCGAAGCCTCGAGTTGAAATTCGATCGGAAATATCGGATTTTATTCAATTTGTATCTCTCGAAAAAAGCAATGACAAATTGAGAGTATCTTGCCAAGCATTGTTTAAGTCCCGTATAACTGTGTAAACTATAAAAAGCGCACACCCACGCGAAAGGGTTACTACGGCTTCTAACAAGATACTAAAGACCGAGAATAATTTGTTGTAGATACAATAAATATCCGTTATGTTTAACGATGATCATCTTGTTTGATTGAAATATATTTGATCTCGGTCTGTATGCCGAAGGTGTACGTCTGTTTACAGAATTTTATCTTTGTTTGCAGTTGGCCGGAGCCATAATTGGTAAAGGTGGTCAGAGGATCAGAAAAATCAGACTCGACAGTGGTGCCGGAATAACTATAGACGAGCCACTGCCCGGTAGTAACGATCGCATCATTACCATCACTGGGGTTCCCAGTCAGATACAAATGGCCCAGTACCTGCTGCAGCAGAGGTAATTGTGTGTTATACGGCATATAACCCTATCGTAATACTTACCATTACATGTAAACATCTGCCTCTTTATTTCATGTTAACACTGTAAATACCGCCTTTATATATATATACCTATATATATATATATATATATATATATATAT